CTAAGACCAAAAAATATATATTTATGACTTACATGTGGAAATAAACTGAAATCAGGGTGACTGACCGAAAAATATGAATTAACCCGCAAGGAACACAACCAGGTCACAAATTGATGCCCTCACATACCCACTCACACATCACATACAACACAACCTCCACAACCTTACCATGCCCACCATACATTAAAGGAGACCTGCCCCTTGCCCGCCCCCATGATCCCGGAGGAGTTTTGCCACAGAGAGGTTACGATAACCCACCGAGAAACTGGACTCCCAACGCCCCCCATAGATTAATCTATTCCTACACATTGTTCTATAGAACCTAGCTGCTAATGCTTTTATCCTCGATTGCCCTTTAATCTGCCTCATTCCCCAAGAAACATGCAAATAATCTGCCATAACATACATCAAAGCCCTTCCCACTTCTCGTGATACCCCACTGACATCCATCGACAAGGTCCTAAGAAACGACCAACTCCCCCCCCAACAGTCTGATAACACCCGCCATCCAGACTCTCACCCCCCCCAAAGACGGACAAAAATATACCACATGATAGGGGGGGGTTTCCTCCTCCCCACAGAACAAGCATGTTGCCTCCCTCACCAACCCTATTTTATGCAACACATGCTTGGAAGCTACTACTCCCATGAGGAAACGGTATACCAACTCCCTGCCTTGCTGGTATCCTAAACAGCCTGAACTCCCTCCATATCACCTACCAAGTTATACATGGGGTACACGGCAACCCCCTGTAAGACACCCCTTCCCCACACCACACCCACCAACGTTTTAACCCTCAAAATTGAAACCTGTCTCACTGTCAACAAGAACATCAGCAAATCCTCACAATTCCTCAATTCCCTGCCACTCCACCAGTTTCTAGCATCCCTCATCACCCTATCCACCCTAACACCCCCCTCCCCCCACCCTAAGATACCTCTGTTTAATGTATAAGGCCATCACCCTAGGCCCCAAAGCCAACAATCCTAGGCCCCCCCGTTTCACCTCCGTCATAACCACCTCCTTAGACAACCAGGCCCCCAAACCCCACACAAACCTCAAAACCCTCCTCTGTATTTCCTGAATTCCTGCACCCTCAAAGGGAGCACCTCTGCCACACCCCATACCTTACTATACACCAGCGAGTTAATAACCAAAGCCCTCTGCTGTAATGCCACTTCACTAACCCTCAAACCTTTAAGCTTGCCTATAACCTACTCGTGACTATTCAGAGTTGATCCTCCTGCACTCCTGCATCTGCGCCATATACCATATCCACAAACCTAAGTCTGTCACTAACTGTCCATCCCATCTCCTCCCCCAATCTCCCCCCAACCAAGTCCCTACCTCCAACAACCTCGACTTTGCAAGATTAACTTCCATACCTGAAACATCCCCAAAACTCTTAATCACCTCAACCACCCTTTTTAAAGCCCCCCACTTATTACTAGAACAGTTGTGTCATCAACATAACCTACAATTCCCCCCATGTGTCCCCCTCTCTACCCCCCCCACAATTCCTCCTCCACAGCCTCAAAGAAAGGATGCTGCACACATGCAAAGAGCAACTGTGAGAGCGGGCAACCCTGCCTTAAGCCCTGTTCCATCAGCACCGGCTCCCCCAGCCTTCCATTAACCTGCACCCTCATGACTGCCCCCTCATATAGAGTGCGCACCCATCTCACTACCCCCCTCCAAAACCCAACTTCTCCAAACAGACCCATAAAAATTCCCTCTTCACACAGTCATAAGCCTGAGCCCAATCCAAACCAAGGACGTCCCCTCCCGGGCAGTTCTCTATAAAATCCCTTATCCCACTGTGCCCATTCTTCATGCTTCGTCCCGGTATCCCATACTGACCCCTATGTATGACATCCCCAATTACCTTCTTTAATCTGTTACCCAATATCTTTGCAAAAATTTTATAATCTGAACATATTAATGACAACGGATGATAATCACCCAAATCCTTCCCCTCCCTCCCCTTCGGCACCAAGACAACAACCCCAGTTCTCTGTGTTCGCCCCATCCTACCACTGCTCAACATATAATTCAGAACTGCCACTAGGCACTCCCTCAGACTCTCCCAATGTGCTCTATAAAAATCATTAGATAAACCATCTATTCCCGGTGCCTTCCCCTGGCTCAACCCATTCACCACCTCCTCCACCTCTGCCTCTTTAATGCTGCCCTCCAACATGTCCCGGTCCCCATGCCCCAAACCCAGATGAGCCCCGATAACTCCAAATGAATCCAACCCAACAACCCCTTCCCTCCTCTTCCATTTCTCCCGAAACCAATAATCTGCATACCTACTGATACTGTCTGTATCAGAAAGACCCTGACCCTGCACATAACCCCCCCCTTCCCCCACCACCAAGTGTGCCACAGTAGTCCTCAACTGTCTGTCCTTGAATTTCCTTAGTACATACCCAGATGGCCTATCACCTTTTAAGACGTCCTCCAAGCCTGCCCTGACCCTGAGTGCATCAAACCGTTCGTTATGAATCTCCACTAAACGACTTCTAAGTTCCCCCATAACACCACTCACACCTTCCCTACCCCCCCATAACAATCATTCAACTGCCCCCTCTAAGTAATTCTGCAATCCAAACCGCCAGCGTGCCCATTCCCTGCCACGTGCCTTGAAAAATCCTGCAATCTCCACCTTTGCATACAACTCCCACCAATCTAGCAAATTCACATCCTCATCCCTAGCCACCCAAAAACCTTTCCACCAGTCCTGAAAGGACAAACCTAGATCCTCCTCCTGTAAAAGCTGCACATTCAATTTCCAATAACTCGGAAATATATGCGGAATACCATCTACCCTAAGGTCAGCCATCACTGCCCTGTGATCAGACAAACCCACGTCAATAGTTCTAATCCTCTCCACACCTATCCCCTGCCTAACATAAATCCTATCCAACCTTGCTTCATAACTCCCCTGCACATAGGTGTGGTCCACCTGATACCCTCCCCTGCCGACCACATCAACCACCCCCACATCCCGTAAAGCATCCTTTAAAACACTCAACACACACCCTGCACCCCTAGGTATCACATCTCCATGCCTAATCACACAATTCCAATCTCCTCCAACTATCGAAATAGCAGGTAAACCCCTGAGATAGTAGAACAAAACGTCCTTAACAAAGTCTGCTTTTACCCTCATATTACTAATTGCAGGCATATAAACCCCCACAAAACATACCCTACTCTCCCCCCAATACCCATCCACCTGAACAACCCTCCCCCTCCCCCTCCTCCCACCACATGACGTGCAATGGGATGGTCTCCTTTACCAAAAACAGCCACTCCTCCCTTAAAATGCAAAGCCAAACTTACAAACATCTTATATCCCCTCAATTGCAACTCACAACCTGACCTATGGTTATGCTCTTGCAAGAAACAAACGTCCACGTCATACCTTCTCAAGAAGCAGTCCAACCATACCCTTTTGACTTCATTCTTGAGACCATTAACGTTTAGAGTCACACACCTGAATGTTCAAGGAAAGGCAGCTTACCTCTGTGCCGCTGTGGCTTGCTCACACTCCCTTTTAAGCTGCTCACACTCTCCTTACCATTCTTCTTAATCATACCCCCCACCCCCCCTGACCCTCCCCACACGATTTCCCCTGTGCACCCCCCCCCCGTAGTGGTCTTCCGTACCACATCTGCCCATGCCTTCTTACCTGGTCTCTGCCCAGGTGTCAATACTTCGTCCAATTCAGACGAGCCCACAGGCCGCTTCCTAGAGCTACCACCCAAACTCATCTCTTCCTCAGGTACATCCTCCCGATGTACCTCAGCTACCACAACTGTTTCCTGGCCTCGTTCATCCAATACTTCCACCTTCTCATGCAGCCCTTCCATCTGCTGCACATCACTGGACCTTCCCTCCAGGTCCTCTTCGGCCAAAGTGTCCTCCAAGAAATCCTGTAGCACAGACTCCAATAACACCTGCGTCGACGTTGCCCCTTCCTCCACCGCCACAGGCCTTGGTGGAGCCTCACTAGCCTCCTCCGGGAGTGTGACACACGTCCCCAACAGGTCCCCCTCCTTCTCCACCTCATCAGTTCCTCGCTGTCACCACCGTACTCAACTGTCAGTCCTCCTCCAAAAGGGTTGGCACACCTGGGGCAGCTCTACGTACACATTGCACCACCATGTGCTCGTACGAGTCACAAAGACGGCACGTCCTCCTTTGCCCCACGTAATGCACATAGACCTGAGTTCTGTTTCCAGTCAACAGAACTCAGGTCTATGTGCAGTCATCTTGTCAATGTCATCTTGAGGGTGTAGGAACCTTCCTGGAGGCCTTCACATGGGCCATCCCTCCATACCCCTCCTCGAGCCTCATGAACGACACCGTAGTTGCTGAAGACGTCCTCTATTCCAAACTTTGTCGCCTCAAATGGTACATTCCGTACCTGAACCCATGTGTAGTATGTAGACACATCATGCATACACACCTCCACCGTCGAGTTAAGGCACATCCGTCGTTCCTGATACTCAGCCACCACACTACTGTAGAAACTGGCCCTCGTAAACTTCACGAAGACTCTTCTCAACCCATTGAGGGCAACACCATACAGCTCCTCATTAGGAATGCCGTAGAGATCCCTAATAATAGCTGGAAGGAGCACATTCATTGTAGCAGTGCTCAATGATCCCCGTATCAGCTCGATGCAAACAGTGTTAACCCTCCTGCTGGCACGATCCGCCATCTTGGAACACTGAAAACTGCGCAGAAACCAGTTGAATTAGGAGCTACTGCGCAGCCTGTCTGCACGGCCCGGGAGTGATGTGGACAATGATTTTCAAATAATTGAATGCTGTACTGCAGAGAGTTTTGGAGTTATGAAAGACGTTCCAGTATCCTGGGAATAAGTTCAACAACTTTGGTCATAGCGCACTTGTACATTACAATTGTTCCAAGAATCTTGCCCAAGTTACCGTACACCAGTGTTCAAAAAATTGAATGTGATCAGATGATGCATTCTCGAGCTATAAGTGAAATAAAAGCGAAAAGTAAAAAGGAAAAATAATACATAAACTTATCAAAAAGATAATTTTAATTGTGAATGGAAGAATTTTTGTGCCAGTGATTGTAACATACATACTTGACCAGTGAGGGCTCCATGCTGGTGCTGCGTACTTTACAACACGCCTGACGTATCTTTTATAAACAGATCAAAAATTCCTATATTTCTGTATGAAGGCATTCTAAGACTAGCCATTTATGTGATCCTCTGGTCATATGTTGGGAGTAATTTTCACTCCAAGATATTACTCCAGGAGTATTACCTGTAGTTTCTTGCCTCCCCTTATCCATACTACATAACCATGATTTGTGTTGAACTCCAGCAGCCACTTACTTGACCACCCTCGCAGCTTGTTCCAGTCTTCCTGCAGCCTCTCTTTATTCTCTTCCGTTATTGTTCTCATTAGCTTGATGTCATAGGGAGACAATGATATATAGGATTCAACACCCTCTGGCAAGGAAAGTAATGACGAGCCTGACCCAAAACCTGGCTCAAATAGTAGGCAAACTCTCGAAAGTCATCAAAGGTTTATTAAAGGTATGATCTTCGAGGGACTCCCACTTGTCAATCTTTTATATATCGAATCGTCTTCCTTTACCATCATTAGCATGGGATGTTACCAAACACCATGGCTTGTTGTAGTGTTTTAGAATCTCAGGTTCATGTGTTGAAGAAGGAGATTCTACTTCTTCAGGAGAAAAATAGGAGGCTGAAGCTTTGCTTAGATGAATTTGGGAGTGAGTGTGAGAAGGATTTCGCTGGTAAGGAGGAAATGGTCACCAGCAGCGAGAGTGGCAGCCACTTTAAGTGGCAAGTGGCTCACAGTTAAGGAAGAAGGAAGATAAGGAGGGCTAACAGAGAAGATGTAAAGGTAGGAAATCGATTCTCTGTTCTCCAGGACGAGTGTACTTCAGTGGTTAGTGAGGTTTAAGGTACCACTGATTCCCTTGCTAATCAAGGTAAGAATGTTTTAATTGTAGGAGATTCTCAGGTAAGATATATGGACTGTGTCTTTTGTAACAGAGATAGAAAGGTCACACAGAGGGTGTGCCTTCCAGGAGCTGGTGTTGGTGACATAGTCAGCAGCTTGGATAATATTATGTCAGGTAATGGGAACAAGCCCATTTTCTGTCTTAGTGCTGGGAGTAATGACACTGGGAAGGCCAGGAGATAGGAGCTGCTGGATAAGTACAGGTCAGCTATAGAAGTAGTCAGGTCTAAGGGAGGGATCCCAGTCATATGTAGCATCTTGCCTAGAAAGGGAGTGGGCAATGAATGGATGTCTAGGGCAATTAGTATAAATTGCTGGCTGGACAGGTACTGCAAGGAACTTACAATCCCATTCATTGATAACTGGGACATATTCTATGGCAAAAGTGATATGTATGCAAGGGATGGGGTTCATCTCTCTGGGGCTGGAGTGGTTGCATTAGCCAATTCGATTGAGGGGGTAATTGATGACTTGTTTAGGAATTTAAACTGACAGATTATAGAGATATGTCTGTTTGTGGGAAACAATCAGGCTGCATTATTAGGGTTGAAAGCAGTAGATATTACCGGGATACCTCAGGGATATGTTTAAAAGACAATATTCAAAATAAAGTTGCTAGTAAAGGCAAATCAATTGATCAACAAACAAAGAGAGACAGTAGAGGGCAACGAGTGACTAGCTCCATTAAGGTTTACTATACAACTAGTAGGAGTTAATTAAAGAGAGAAATAAAAAAAGGAATACGAAAAGCAAGAAGGGATTATGAGGCTAAGGTCGCAAGGGATTCGAAGACTAACCCAAAATGGTTCTTTCAGGTATACAGAAGCAAGATTAGGGACAAGACTGGCCCACTTAAGAGTAACTCTGGTCAGATCACTGACAGTGATAAGGATATGTGTGAAATTTTCAATACCTATTTCCTCTCAGTTTTTACCCAGGAAAATACTAGCTAAATTCCTGAAATAATAGATTATGTAGAACAGGACGATAATAAACTATGCACTATTGCGGTAACTAGTGACATGCTCCTCAGACAAATAGAGAAATTAAAACCTAACAAATCCCCAGGCCCTGATGAACTGTTTCGAAGGGTGTTAAAGGAATGTAAAGAGGAACTTAGCATACCTTTGGCTAATCTTTTCAACATATCACTACAAACTGGCATAGTGCCTGATAAGTGGAAAATGGCAAATGTAATACCTATTTACAAGGCAGGTGATAGGTCCTTAGCTTCGAACTATAGACCAATAAGCCTTACCTCCATAGTGGGAAAATTTATGGAAACAATAATTGCCGAAGCAATTCGTAGCCATCTTGATAGGCATGAATTGATTAATGAATCTCAGCATGGTTTTACAAAGGGGCGTTCCTGTCTTACAAATTTACTAACTTTTTCACCAAGGTGTTTGAGGAGGTAGATCATGGTAATAAATATGATATTGTATATATGAACTTCAGTAAGGCTTATCATAAAGTTCCACATCAGAGGCTATTGAGGAAACTTAAGGCACATGGAATAGGAGAAATTTTTTCCTGGGTAGAGGCATGGCTGACAAATAGACAGCAGAGAGTTTGCATAAATGGGGAGAAATCAGAATGGGGAAACGTCACAAGTGGTGTTCCACAAGGGTCAGTGTTGGGCCCGTTGTTGTTCACAATTTACATAAACGACATAGATGAGGGAATATATAGTGACATAAGCAAATTTGCTGATGACACCAAAATAGACCGTCCAATTCATTTTAATGAAAACACCAGAGCACTCCAGGAAGATTTCCCCTCAAGGAAGGTTCCTTGATGTTAGTGAGGGGCTCTTGATTTAGGGAATTGGATCTGTGCTCCAGTTCCCCGAATTAAGCCTGAATGCCTTCCACATCCCCCCCAGGCGCTGTATAATCCTCCGGGTTTAGCGCTTCCCCCTTGATTATAATAATAATAATCCAGGAAGATTTGAATAGACTGATGCAGTGGTCGGAGAAGTGGCAGATGCAGTTTAATACAGAAAAATGCAAAGTTCTAAATGTTGGACAGGAAAATAACCATGCCACATATAAATTAAATAATGTAGATCTTAATACTACTGATTGCGAAAAGGATTTAGGAGTTCTGGTTAGCAGTAATCTAAAACCAAGACAACAGTGTATTAGTGTTCGCAATGAAGCTAACAGAATACTTGGCTTCATATCAAGAAGTATAAATAATAGAAATTCTCAGGTTGTTCTTCAACTCTATATATCCTTGGTTAGGCCTCATCTAGATTATGCTGCACAGTTCTGATCACCGTATTACAGAAAACCTTCAGAGGAGGATGACAAAGATGATCCCATGTATCAGAAATCTTCCCAATGAGGATAGACTGATGGTCCTGAATCTGCACTCTCTAGAAAAGCGTAGAATTAGGGGGGATATGATCGAGGTGTATAAATGGAAAACAGGAATAAATAAAGGGGATGTAAATAGCGTGCTGAAAATTTACCGCCAAGACAGGACTCACAGCAATGGTTTCAAGTTGGAAAAATTCAGATTCAGGAAGGATATAGGAAAGCACTGGTTTGGTAATAGAGTTGTGGATGAGTGGAACAAACTCCCGAGTACAGTTATAGAGGCTAAAACGTTGTGTAGTTTTAAAAATAGGTTAGATAAATATATGAGTGGGTGTAGATGGGTGTGAGTTAGACCTGACTAGCTTGTGCTACTTGGTCTGATGCCGTGCTCCTTCCTTAAGGGGAAGTGACCTGACTAGGCGGGTCATTGGGCTAATCCGGGGGGGGACATGGACCTGCTTTGCATGGGTCAGTAGGCCTGCTGCAATGTTCCCTCTTTCTTATGTTCTTATGTTGACCTACATTATTACGTCACAGAAACCTATATTGGGTGCATGTAATAACGTCTCATCTCCCTAAATGCTCAACTAACCCTTTCCTGGTTATTTTTTCCAATATTTGTGTACCTGTGTGTATGTTAGCAGGCTAGATATTAATCACCACCCTTGTTGCAGGCTGCAGCCGCAACAACGGCGGGTGTGGGCAGATATGTCTTTCAACTCGGCGTGGCGTGCGCTGCTCCTGCGAGTACGGCTACTTCCTCAACCCTGACCGACACACTTGCTCTGACCTGAACGAGTGTCGCCGGAACAACGGTGGGTGTAGCGACCTCTGTACCAACACTCCTGGCTCCTTCGTTTGCTCCTGCTCTCAGGGAACACTACTGGAAGACCAGATGACCTGCGCCGACGCAGGTGTTAACACTTGCGAGGTCAACAATGGAGGATGTTCTCAGGTGAGGTGCAGAGCAGGAAATATTGGATTATAGAAGTCACAAAGTGATCCTTATCAGACACCAATGAAATATATCATTTGGATATTACAAGTTAAAGGTTACACTCACAAAAAATTACCTAATTAATGCAATACGAGGATACTGTCTCAACCTCACGTATCTTTGCTATGAACCTCTAGAGCAGGGTTTTGTAACCTGGGGTATCCATACCACTTTGGGGTATAGCAACCATATAATGTGGATATGGGACTCGATCTCTGAACACTCCACAGTTTTTTTTTTAAATAAATGTGATAAAAACCTTATGATTTTCTTTGAGCTGTTCTGTTGCTAGCTATCGATATGTAAAGTAAAATCAAGCTAGATACTGACATCTTTTGAAGTCATACTGGTACCTAACAGGACTGGTGATGATGATGATGATTTCCACAGTCTGTTGATAGTGGTATGGGAACATATTGGGAAATCCACTGGGGATCTGTAATTGTAAAATGGTTAAGTACCCCTGAATTATAACAAGGATCAACACGTTGTGTATGTAGTTTCAGTTGTCAGTGTGCGGGTTAGTTGCGAATTGTTCCAGGACTGTGTTGTGATTTTCATTTCTTCAGTCTTGCTCCTCGACCTTCGCATAACGAAACATTATCTGCATTCATTGTAGCATTCTCATGCACATAAACAGTGAAGTATGCTTGATCAGACCAGGAAGTTTATGTTAATTTATTTAACAAACAGCAGTAAATTACATGATTTAAAACTACTACTACCACTACTGCTACTACAACTGCTACTACTACTACTATTACCACTAGTACTACGACTACTGCTACTACTACTACTACTACTACTACTGCTACTACTCTACTACTACTACCATACTCTACTGACATGCTACTACTACTATACATGTACTACTACTACTAACTGTACTACTACCTACTACTACTACACTACTACTACTACTACTCTGCTACTACTACTACTTACTACTACTACTACTACTACTACTTACTACAACTGCTACTACTACTACTAGCTATACTACTACTGCTACTACTACTACTACTATACTCTCTACTACTATCTACTACTATGCTACTACTGCTATCTACTTACTACTACTACTACTGTACTGCTATACAACTGCTACTACTACTACTAGCTGACTATCTACTACTACGTACTACTACATACTACCTACTACTACTAGCTACTACCTACTACTACTACTACTGCTACTACTGCTACTACTACTGCTACTACTACTACTGCTACTACTGCTACTACTTTTACTACTATACTACTACTACTACTACTGCTACTACTACTACTGCTGCTTGTTATGTTGTTGTCCCTTATTTCTTTGATAGTAAGGTTCTCACTACATGTTCTAGTGTGGGGCAGCTTTTTACATAAAGGCCTTATCAGTCTAGGGTAATACTTAAATTCATGATTGATTATCCTCAGTGTTTCTGAAATCCTTTCACCAGCCCTCTACACAGGTTATTTAAACTACTATAAAAATAGAACTATATTCTAGATAGATATAACAGAATATACAATATACAAAACATAAATCTTCACACTCCTTTGCTGCTCTCCTGGGAACAACCCACATGGTGCATCTCAGTAATTTTCCCTTCTCTCTTCTTGACTAATCTCTGGACTAACCAGTGTTTTGACACACTTTAGTTACCCTGAGTATGGTGGCTACAGCTTAAGGTATAAAACTCACCTCTGGGGCACACATAATGCCCAAAAAATAAAAAAGGACCCAGAGGTCCTACCAGCTTGAAGCCAACAGAGAGAGTGAGGGAGAGGGAGGAGCCTAGCTAAGCTCCTCCCACACCCACCAAAACAACAAAAGACTGTTGCCAAGCACAATTCTCTAGTTACCACAATTATACCACACCTTATTTTACTTTTACAAAAAGAAATACAACTTTATAAACTACTTATTTAAATTGTGTGTTTGTGTGTCTATAGCATAACCTATTATATTGAGAAAAACAGGCTTGACTCGGCTGCCTTACAGCCATAAGGGTGATCTGCCCTTATGACAATTAGGGCTGAGTCCCCATCAATTCAATATAATTAGGTATCATCATTTGTCTGTCAACCTGCGGGTAGGGAGGACGCTCTCTGAGCTTGCCACTGTTGTTCCCAGGTGGCGGTTGGTGTACCTAGGTACCCAAAATGGTGGACTGACATTGACACCATGTAAACACAGTCTGTGTGGAGCTGGTCCACAGAACCCTTAGCAGTTCTACGATGCATGTGATTCTTCCTAGCATCATCCGTGATGTGTACGGCATTCTGAATGAAGAACTGTATGGAGTTGCAGTTAATGGATTGACAAGGATTTTTATCAAGTTCACAAGTGCTGAGTTTTATGCCAGCATAGTCGATGCTTTCCAGGAGAAGAGGATGACAGTTTATACAACAGTGGAGGTCTGCCTTCACTATGTCTTTGGCTACGTAACGTTAGTAAAAGTCAGAAATGTGCCATTTGAGGCTAGGGAATATGATGTCGTGGTGGTATTTCGTAGGTATGGCATGGTTCATGCCATACCTATGAGTGTGGAAGGATGGGCCTTATATGGGGCTACTGGAGGGATCATTCACACTGAAGATGTTGCTGAGGCAGCTGATTCCATCGTATGTTCTGCTGGAGGATTATAAAACACAGGTCTATGTATATTATGCAGGACAACAAAGGACATGCCGGTTGTGTGGGTCTTACGACCATATGGCTGCTCAGTGTCATCGGAGGCAGGGATGGCGTGAACAAGTGCCAACACCGGTGGACCAACAGCTGGGCACTTTTGTGCCTGGGACAGGTGCAGCCGCAGGGCAGGTGCCTAGAAGTTGGAGTGAGGAAGTGGACAGAGCAGAGTCAGAGATGGGAACGTGTTCCACATTACCTGTGGGCACGGAGGCTGGGCAGATGCCTACAGAGGTGACTGTTGACACGAGTGTTTTGCATAAGGATGGCCTGCTGGAGGAGGTCTTGAAAGACTTCCTGGGTGCGGAGGAGGGAAGTCCTGATGGTGTGGATGCCGAGCGTGCAGTAGTGGGGGAGTCAGCCACACCTGAGTGTGAGGAGACTGTGTAGGGAGGGTAAGCAGCAAAAGGTGATGGTTGAGGTGCACCAGGAGGACATGGAAGATGATATCCTGTGTGGAGATGGTGGTTCCTGCAAAAGAGCAGCGGGGCATCGGACATGGATGACGTGTTTATACCAGGGCAATAGCCTGGAAAGAAATCATGGAAGATCATGCTGGAGCCCCCAGCGCATGGTGGTACCAGTACTGAGGTGCTGAAAAGGTCGAGGGAAACGGGGGAGGTAGGGGGTCAGGATAGACAGAGTGCTAAAAGTGGCTCCAGTCAGCTGCCCAGTATTTCGAGTAAGCCACAAAGGCGTCGAGGAAAACCGCCTTTACTGTAATACCTCAAGGTTGTCACTATAAATGTCAATGGCCTGAGGGCTGAGGTTAAGAGAGTGTGGGTGGAGTGGTTTCTATGGAGATTTGATGTGGATATTTGTTTCATACAAGAACATAATTACAGGTTTGGATGTGTGTTGCGTTTGAAGGGATATAAGATGTATGTGAGTGGCTCGTTGAGGTTAAAAGGGGGGGTTGCTGTGGCTGTGAAGGAGACCAGTCCCTTGCGTGTTTTGGAGTGGGAGGAGGGGGTGGGAGGGTGGTGTGGGTGCAGGGAGTGTGGGGTGAGACTAGGGTTTGTTTTATAGGAGTACATTTGCTGGCAGACGGCAATGCAAGAGTTAAGGAAAATTTCGTGAGGGATGCCTTGCTGTATCATTTTAGAGGATTGCTTTTAGTCACTGTGATAGGAGGAGATTGGAACTGTGTCATAAGACAGGGTGATGTGGACCCGAGAGGGGCAGGGTGTGTGCTGGGTTTATTATGCAATATGTCGGGCGATGTAGGGATTTTCGATGTAGTGGGGAGGGGTGGTTGGAGGGTTGAGTATACGTTTGTATGAAGGGGTTATGCTGCACGTCTGGATAGGCTCTTTGCAACAGAGGCAATACATAGTGGAGGTTAAGACTTTTGATGTGGGATTTTCTGATCATTGGGTTGTTATGGCGGATCTCGACTGGGATGGTATGGTTAGGACCCAACCTGGTTATTGGAAATTAAATGTGAACTCTTGAAGGGGGTGGGGGTGAGTGAAGTTTTTGGGGAATGGTGGCAATCTTTGTGGGGGTCGCGAGAAGCAGGATCGTGTGTCTTGGATTCGTGGAAGAAGCGGGCTAAACCAGGTATTGCGGGATTCTTTAAAGATCGGGGTAGGGAAGAGGCTAGGTGGAGATATGAGTCTTTGCAAACAGTACATTGAGATTTTATATTTACAATAGTGGGTTGCAATGCAAAGAGAGCCTCTATTATGCCTAGGCATTATGGGCCAACTTAACATTATTTGCTTACAGACTACTTAACACTAAGGATTTTATCATAGTTGTACAGTAGGACAGTAATTATTTCATAGTTGAACAGTAGATCATTAATTATAAGTGAATTAAATTTGTATAAGACAAAGGATATATTCATATAGTCTAAAATACTTTTTGTGAAAACAATGGTTCAATTATATTCCTGTCAACAATGGATAAAAGGTTCAAAGTGATTGTTGAAGTTATGATGTGGGAGTACGTAGGTAAGTATGTGTGTACTGAGTATTTAGTCTAGGGTGATTAAGTGGCTTTTGAGAAGAGTCTTAAACTGATTTTCAGACTGGGTTACTTTAATATCTTCTGGCAATGAATTCCATATTTTAGGGCCCTTTATGTACATAGAGATTTTACACAGTGTGATATGGACACGAGATATATCAAAAAGAGATCAGTGTCTTGTGTTGTGGTCATGTGTCCTGTTTAAGTTGGTGAGGAGAAGTTTGAGTGGAGGGTTTATATTTGTGTGTATTGTTCTGTGTATGTAGTAGGCACATGAATAAGTATGGATGTTCTTAATGGT